GCACCTCCTCAACCCACCGCACCCCTAATTTCTGCCTTTCTACATCGTTCGCATTTCAGTCAGGACCGCTTTAGCGAAAGAAAATTATTATTTCCATTTGCAGTAATTTATATTTGGTGGTTCTGTGCTGTTCTAGTAGTCTCTACCCACCCTTTAAAGTGCATCAATGGAAAAAAAGCCTGAAGCAGGAAAACCAGCAGTACAGCTCTCTAGGTTACAGAGGAGAGGAGGCATTAATGCCAACCTATATACACAGATACACAGGATGAAAAGAAAGAGTTGGTATGAAGGTGGGCTGCAAAGCTGCTTGCAGAGAAAGCAGTGGCTCAAGAGTTGGAAGTTCGCCTTGTAATCGGAAGGTTGCCGGTTTGACCCCTGGCTTAGACAGTCTCGGTCGTTGTGTCCTTGGGCAAGACACTTCATCCGTTGCCTACTGGTGGTGGTCAGAGGGCCCGGTGGCGCCAGCGTCTGGCAGCCTCGCCTCTGTCAGTGCGCCCCAGGGTGGCTGTGGCTACAATGTAGCTTGCCATCACGAATGTATGTGTGTGAATGGGTGGATGACTGGTTGTGTAAAGCGCTTTGGGGTCCTTAGGGACTATGTAAAGCACTATACAAATACAGGCCATTTACCATTTTTACCACTGCCATTTGAGTATACAGAATAGCATTAGTTATTATTAGCATTAGTAATACTATTCTACAATACCAGATGAACTATGATTGCTAGCTTGGCTTGACTTTGAGGATTGTCTCAACCTGTGCTATGCTCAATATGAGTAAAAATAATCAACATAATCATATAAATAATTATTCATAGTGTGTTATTAGGATGGCAGACTTGGTAAGTACAACAGTCTAATGAACCATATCACAAACACTTCTGCTGAACTGCATTTTTCACCATTGAGAAATGCAAGCGAGCGTGACTAGGCTATGACTATTCATATTGTAGTCCTGCCAAATATGCAGTTCTGCTCTGCCCATGAAAAGAATTGCTCTCTGCCTTTTGAACTGGACTCACAACTAACTCACTCAAGCAATGCACTGACTAAGTTGAGTTTATCCTGCCCGGCATGTGTCTAGCTTTACATTTTGAGCGAAGCCTTGCCCTGCGGACTGAGAGCGCTGGGGGGGATTAGAAGCCAGCTTGACTACCGCTGACCTGCCTTTCCTTTACAAGGAAAGATCAGCTATCAGACTGCTACTGCTTTGTGCCCTGCTGTTTGAGGGTTGTGTCAGGGATTCCTCCTTAAGTGCACAGGGGTTCACCAAACAGTTGGGGGCAAACAGACGTGGAGGGAGGAGGCCTGAAACCTCTCACTATCCTTAGTGCTGTCACATGTTGCCCAAAAAGCCTGGATGTCATCTGTCAAAGCCCTCATCAAAGAGCACTTTCAAGCTCAGCAAGTTTCATGCGTGCTGTGACCAAATGAAGGTAGTGTTTCCATGGATACTGCCCCAATTGAGGGCTAGTACCAGGTTTTTCTAATCAGGCTTGAAACAAGCTACTGGCAGGCTTAGTGGTTTGCAGTGACAGCCATGTCATACAACACAATTTACAGAATTGCACAATTCAATACAAATCTTCTAAACATGTACAACAGGGATCTAAAACAAAACATTATATAATCGCTCAACTAACTACAAATTCAGAAGAAAAGATGCAAGTTTAAACAATAGATTCCACATGATATTGATGAAGTAGTTATGTAATAAGGTTTATATTAACAACCGTAGTGGTTAAACAACAACAGGTTAACTGAGACGTTTGCTGAAAAACTGAAACCACAGAAGAATGCAAAAACACGAGAAAGCGTTTGTATTTAAAAGGTTAAAAAGTTGAATGAAGCGCAGTTAGAGGACAAAGAAAGAGACTTAGAGGAACAAACAAGGAATACGTAAGGAGAGGATACAAAAAACTAGAATGGCAAAAAGGCAGAATTGGTGCAGAGGGCGACAAGATAGAAAGAAGGAGTGGCTCCGTCAGAGCGATTGCTTAAAAAATATGGGGCCTTATTAAAACAAACACATCCGATCATGTATGCACTGTAGAAGCAAAAATAGCTTCCCTGTGACACAAGCTGCTTAGGCAGACACAGACATGAGGAAGGTGTGGTTTCATTCTCTGGAAGGAAGCACAGCATAAGGGTTGATGGGAAGCTGTTTCAGATGTGTGTGTGAGTATGTTTGCGCATGCATGTTTATAAGGGTGGAGCTCCATGTAACAGGATCTCAACATGAAGGGAAATGCGGGCTCATTGAGACTCTCTAATGAGAGGGGGAACCTGATCAGATTCAGATGGGGTGCCCCGAGCGCACAGCCCCCCTACAGAAAGTGCCGCCCGACACCCTTTGTTACCTCCAAGTGAGCTGAGAACAGCCCATGAACCATGTAACTAGGTGGTTTCCAGGTTAATGAAAAGCTGTAACTCCGGTCCCACTGTCTCTCTCGGCTAGAGTGACGACTGCCCTCCCCTTCCCACGTCGTATCAACCCCCCCCCCCCCATCTTCACCTCCACATTCCTGCCCATGTCCATGACGGGAGTATCAGGGTCAAGGGCAATTAACTTTGCTTTGTGCGAAGTATGCTTTATTTATATCTGAGGCTTTTTATTATCCAGAGGAGTACACAATATAAGAAAAGCCAAAACCTCTGAGTGGTATATTTTAAATTAAATTATCTGAAATTGTATGACAATTAACAGAAATGTGCATTATATTACCAAAAGGGCAATTCACACTAAATTCACTTTGCAGTTAAGAATTTTTTTTATCAAGACATAACCTCTACTGATTCATTTGCTGCACAAAAATATAAAATGCTGTCTTGTGCCCAAGAAACTGTATGTTTAACTCTCTTTTAACGATGAAAGCGGTTGTAAGTCAAACTGATGGCAGGTGGGCTCAGCAGGAGTCCCTCAGATGTAAGATAGATGTACTTGTTAGCAAAGGTGAGTAACAGGAGTCATGGCTTGACTGGTCAGTAAACACACCACAGAGAGTTAAAGTGCAGCAACAAAGGCAAAAATACACACTGTGAGTCATCTGACAAGACTTTTACTTTTGCCCATATTTAAAGCAATGTCGAATGTGCTTTAATGAAATGCTGGCTATCATTACTCAAAAGTGCTTTAATAGATATGTAGAGCTATTACATTGTCTAGCTATTTCTTTATCTACCAAATCAGTCATCTTGGACGAGTAAAAGCTGCCAAATGGTCCGTGACATTACATTTTGTTGATTCATAACAGCGGTATTTGGCTACTGGTGGAGAAGCAAACTGCTGATGTTAGTCCTAAATCTGCAGTTCGCTTCCCCCGTCCCTGTGAAAGAGGAGAAAGCCAAATCCTCATTCGCAATACAGGTAAACATCAACTCCACGGCAGGTACACATTAGGGCGGGTTTACTACAAAAGAAAGAAAAAGGGAGAAAGAAAAAAAGGAAGAAAAAAAAAGCTCCTTTGATTCTGTGTTGGTGGAAAAAAGTAAATTTACACCAGTTGCTGTTCAATTTGGACCGGTGGACAATAAAGCAGGAGCCAGTGCCTAATAAGAGCCATGCCTGAGAGAGAGAGGGAGAGACACAGAGAGCGAGAGAAACCCAGTGGAGGTGTGTCTGCGTCTCGGCTCCAAGGTTCCTGCTAATAGATTTCAGCTCCCTCAGTTTCCCAATTAGCTGGTATGTAATGCTTGGTTTATGAATTCATGTGTAGATACTAAGTGTTAGAACATGTGTGAACATGTACAGTGTGAATGCATATTTACACATACATGGCATTGTATGTGTACGGCAAAGATACAAGTTGTGTGTGTCATTATCACGCCAAATAAACAGCAACTACCTGTTGTTTATAAATTCATATACTGACTATAGTGGTGATTTAACTTAATTTTTAAAAATCCCCTATTTAAGACAGAAAGGAATCAGATTACACTGACCAATTCCCAGCCAAAATCTGCCTATCAACGTCAACACATGGCGACACAAACAGAAAACAAACAGATAAACCTGTCCAGTTTTAGTGCAGCTTTTACCACTTTTTAAGGAAGAGCATTACAAAGCAAATAGTGAGTGCACTTTTAACCCTGACCCTGTGTGAGGATGGACAGGCAGCGCTCAAGACTTACCTGTAATAAACCCCAATAGCTTCCACACATGACCATAAATCACACGGTATGCCTTCAAAGTATCGAATATCGACTAATACAACACCGCTCACCCCTGGCTTTTATCCCCCGTGCTTCCTTTTCTGTGTTCTGGTGGTGGCACTGCCTTTAAAGTGCAACCATCTCACTTTTTTAAAAGGCACGCCGAGCAATTTATTTACCAAGAAACTGCAGCTGTAAATGACAGAAAAAGCTGCACAATTTACGGACAAGTAGTGAATGGGGGTAGGGGGGGCCAGAACGAAGCCAGGGGTCTTGGCTGGGCCTGTGAAAGCCTATAAAGCTTTAGTAGTAGCCCACGACCTGTTTATGGCTGGCTGAGACGCTGTGGTGTGAGGCTCCTGATCACTCTGCAGCTCGTGACTGCTGCCGCTCTTGCATAACACACAAACAGGAGATGGTAACGGAAACAAGGCATTAAAACACTGCAAACAGATTCGGTGACATGGGCTTTATTCTGCAAGTCTCAGAAAGAAAAGGTCTGGGCCTTTTTTTTTAATAAGGTAACGAGGCAAAAAAAAAAGAAGAGTGACTTAAAAACAGAAAACATCTAACCTTAACATTGTGTGAGGAATAAATGGGTAAATGATGCATTTCATTTTCCACAAAACGTCTGAGGCTCTTGGCATTTGTCTTGGCCTGCTTAAATGTGGATTGCAGAACTGGCTTGGCATGCTGAGCTGGGGGACCTGGTATGCTCGGAACTTCACAGCATAGATGCAAATGCCCACCAAGAAGATTCAAGGCAGATGTGGACTGAAATGGCATCCTTGTAAGTAGCCATTTGGTAAAGGTATTGCAGGAATTTTTTATTTTGAAAATGTGGCTCACCTCGTCTTCACCACATCGAGGGGATGCATCAAGCAGATCTCTACCAGACCTAAAAAAAAGTAAAAAAAACAAAAAAACAGTCAAGATTAGTCACTTTAAAAAGAATAGGTAATCCGGTCTCTATTTTCCTTGCTTTCTTTTTTGTTCACTGCACTGATGACTGCTTACGAATGCAGATAAATGAAAAGTATTTTTTATCAGTCACTGGATGATTTCCAACGGTTTCAAGATTGTATTTCTGCAAATGCACTCCTTCTGCGTTCTGCACAGACTGTTTACCAGCATGAAACCAAAGCCTGCTCAAACATGACTGGTCAATACAACTGGACTACAAACAGAAACCAGACATTTCTGATGGTTGAGACAGCATTAAGTATGTTGAAGAAAGATTCATTGGCAGCATACGTTTGTCAGAAATGAGAGTAATTGAAAATTATGAGTTTGAGTCTCTATAGTTTCAAGTTGGCTTTCCAAATGCTCAGCAATTGCTACTTAGTCTAAACTGAGCATATTTAGGTTTGGGACAGTCAACCCATGCACACAATTTTTTTTTTAGAGATTTTAGTAAAACATAACTAAATGTGAATAAAATAATAAATAATCTACAAACAGTGATAACATGACAAACGTTTATCAGTCTATTTTTTTTGTTATGACTTTTTTGTTAGTCTTCTTGTTCTGTTTTTGTAAATCACATCAGTGCTGTGAGCCAATCAAATCTTCCACATCGATCATGTGAACTTGTAGATGTATGCGAAATCTCTGTGACCATCAGCTAGCAACACAGTGTGTGTGACAGTCACCCTGTAAACAATCTGATAAGAAGCTTGTTTAACGTCTAACTGGGGAAAAACAGTGAATGTTCGTTCATGTGATATGTTTCGCTTTCATTTTAAAACCATTTAAATTGGAAAGTTCTGTAAAAATACATTTTTTCATGTTTCTACCAAATGGTTTTGAGGTGCAACCCATGCAAGTCCTAGCAACTTTACATAAGAACCTCATCATCACTCTGATTATCACTCTGCCTTTTGGAAACAGCAGCTACTTCAGCAATTCTCAGTTTTTTATGCATTGGTCTGAATGAGAGATCCGGCAAGACTTCTTTTTCTTTCCACAAACCCTCTGAGTGCTGAAGCCACCGACTATATCACCCGCGCAAACCCAGTACATCAGCAATATGCCAGCAGAATCAATGCAGCCGGGTGATCATTGAAAGACTCTGAGGTTTCACACACATGCTAACTATGTGCATCTGTGTTGAAAAGCCACTGCTTTGGCACGGAGGCTCTCTGACTCAATCAGGATTTTTTTTTTGAACTGGCGATTCTCACTGCATCCCTTTACTGGGGCTCTGAGGGCTTCCCTTGCAGATTCCACTGTGTGTGTACACAGCTGCTGTGCAATATGGGGTCTTTCTAATTTGCTCAATTAAACATATTGTCTATAAAAGCGTGTGTCTTCTGGGGTTTTTCCAGGGAAGTAATTATCAAGTGAAATACCACAGTAAAAATTACTTTGTCTACAGTTGCATCTTAATGTACGAATGGGAGAACTAAGAAGCACTGAACCAAGTTGCCAGTGGCAGAGAGTCAAACAAAATTCCATCTGTTACAGCTCAGTTGACCTGACTTTGGTTCTTAATGACACTGCGCTGGAGAGGTAAATGCAACCGTCCATTGGACAGATTGTTTTCTGTCCTCTCTATTAATAGGCCTGATGTGAAGACGAGGCACGTCAAATCTTTCAACGGGTAATCAGATTACATGATGAAACCAAACCTGCCTGTTTGCTCGATCAGCCTGTGCACTTTCTGGGAAGTGACTGAACATGCTCAAGGTGATTGTATTTTATTGTTCAGCACTTTGGTCAGCCTTGGTTGTTTTTAAATGTGCTTTATAAATAAACTTGACTTGACTAGAGGAGGAAGTGCAAAGGGGAAAAAGAGACAACTTCTTCAAACAGTGGACACTTGTGAGGAAGGCAAACAAAGATAAAGACATACAACTCTCCCCAACTCATTGTGAGCCTCTGTGTGATCTAAGTTAAAAGTAAAGCAGGAGTCGCATGTAAAATAGGTCCAACACCACGCCAGAGTCAGCAGAGCAGGATTCCTCCCGCACTAAGTGTAATGGAGGGAAAATGCAAAACGTATTTTCGTGAATTGATGTGGAAATGAAATATGAGTTAGCCATTACTACTTGTATCATAACAAAAGGTGCTACTACATTTTTATGGCTAAATAAAAGCCCGTGTCTCTAGGTTGTAGAATGAGCAGAGATTAAAACAAACCAGAAATTACACTGAAAACAACAGAGCAGAAAATCTATTAGTAATCTATTATTTACATTCTTTTAAAACCATGGAATACATTTTGCATCTGTGCGTATCTAAATAGAGAAAAAGACGAAGATGCTTCTTTTGGCCGTTGACTTATTCACAAGAAGTCGACACAGCAGGCGGCTCGGCACATTTCATTTGGCAGATTTTTCCCCCACATGCTGTTCCTGATGCAACCCCATAGGAGATGTGTGTCTCCTCCAAAGGGAATGTGTAAACCATTACACTATGGTGTGACTATCTGTGCACATCTGAATACTTTACTAAAATGATTACTTTAGTTTTTCGGGCCTTGTGATCAACCTCAGATTACAGGAAATCTGTCATCCAGTTTCCCATACATGGATTAAATGTAACCCTAGACTAACAGAAAAATCTAATCCCTACTGAAAAACAACTTTTGATTTAGGGCTAGGTTTAATCTATGTATGGGAAACTGGGCCTAAAGGATACATAATTATAACCAAACCAGTATAAGTAGATACTCTTTACCAACTGACAGGTCTGCCACAGTATGCAATTTAGGTACAGCAATTCATGAGGTGTGTTTCACTTCTCAGGGTATCATTATGTAAGTCTAAGTGCATTATGGACCACAGCGTGTCAGTTAGCAATGTATGCTGCTTTGTTCCTCCAAGATGGCAGTTGCAAAAGGATTAAGTGATGACAAGCACTAATGCAAAACTCAGCTGTGTTTGTCTGAGTATTTGTCTAACACCCTTGCAAACAGGACATCTGAAGAAGAGTTGATGGCAGATGAACTGACAGGCTGTGTGGACTTGAAGAAAAAAAATAAAGTTTGTGGCCATAATCCTAAACTGACCTCTACATGACATCTCACTCACACACAGAAGTTTATTTATAAGACACTCCATAGTGATTTCCAGCAGTGCTAAAAAATCGATTCATTTGTATTAGAAATCAATTTTATATTAGCACATATAATCACACTGAAGTTTTCTATTTGTCAAAAAACCTGTAAACAGCAGCTACAGTAGTTGTATGCAACCAATTTGTGATTATTTTGATAACTCCCAGTCAAACATATTTGCATTTTGGGAAAACTAGGTGGAATAAAAACAGAACAATGATGTGGCGTGTCCTCTCACTCAAAGTACAAAGAATACACTGCGAGAAAGGGCACAGCAATTACATAAGTGATGACAGGTCCACAAAAGATGCAAGTTGTTGCTGCAATAAATTCTGATTTATAGAGACTATTTTCAGAGAAGCAATTAATTCCAAACAATTATGTTAGACAGCTCATTTTTTTCCTGCTAATGTCCAATGGAAACACTTCATCAAACTGTCTCTGTGTAAAAAACCAAGTATGTAATTTCCTCGACATTCTCACACCGCTGTGCCCCAGTGTATCCTGCCTTTCTGTTCCAACTGCCAGTGCAAAATGCTTTTTAATCATACAGTGCGGCCATAGTGAACCCACACACTCTCGAGAGCACTTCACACTCAACAGTCTCTGATGCAGTCACCGAGCATGCTGAGGACGCACTAAAGGGATGATACTACTGAACTTTTCTTATATTTAGCCAGAGATTGGCTGCAACTCTTTCTGCAGTTGCTTCCCTCCTCCAGCTGCAAGGAGGAGCCTAATATTACAGTGACCCACCATCTGGTTGATGTTTATGGCTTTGCCATGCATCAGTGAGTTGCATATTAGAAAATTCCATTATTTAAAGGTTCTTTTATTTCTGATACACAATAGTACTGACAGGGCTTGTCATTCAGCACATTGCAGACACACATACACACGCGGAGGCGCACGCGCTAATGGCAAAGGAGTGTCTGGAGCGCAGCCATTTAGAGACACTTAAATATACGCCGCCACACTTGTATTTCAGACACATGCATTCAAGGCTAAGATGCAGTGTGAAGGTGAACTGAGCAGTGGAAACAAAAGAGCTGGGATTAATGTGGCACAACATTAGGTGAATTTTATGCCCATCGCCAATGCAGAGTGGTGAAAAAGAGCTTTTATTTTGGCTCTCACATTCACCACATGTCTGAAAAACAACGAGGATCGGTGTTAAAAACTGCTGCATCACACCACAGTCAATCTTTTTTTTCCTACACAGTGCAGTGACTCTTTGGAGCAGAACCAACAAGTAGCTTCACTGGTAACACGGGTATTCAGACATTCCAGGTCGTCTGATAACTTGTCCAAAGAAAGAAGATCATACATCACACAGATGAGATGATTATCTTCATTGGTTTTGGCATGGGAATGCATACAGTTGGCTTCCATGCAAAAGTGAGAAAGAACAACAATAGCGCACCAGGGAATGATTGCTCAATGGGTGCAGGTGTCATCCATCTTGCCAAGACACACATTGAATGACTGTAATTCCCAGCAACCACAAGGAGAAGGTCACTGCTTGGAAGCAAGATTTTCCTTGTTTAATGGGCTAATACTTGAAAGACAAACTAGCTGGTTATTTCTCATGCTTACTTGACCCAATGAATGCTATAATCTCAAACAATGGCTTAAACACTACTTTCTTAACAATATTTATAATATATTAATTATTTAAATTTAATAATAACTTATTTTAATTAATTCTATAAAATACTGACACTTTGAAAGTTGTAAAGATGTCAAAATTATGTACACTTTGTTAGTGAAATATCATGAAGAGCACGAAGAGATAAAAAAAGAAGGTGACAGATAAACAGCTTAGTGAATTTTTTTCT